ACTAACATAGTAACATGACAACATCCTTGTACTCATACGCCTGAAACAATGTTACGTACAACTGTCGACATTTTCAAAACAAAAAGAAGGAAACGTGATAGAAATGTTCAACAAACTGTCATAGCCAATGATTTCGATAGGTACTCACTTTTGACTTCTATAGAAAATACTACCAGTTTTTGAATTATAATTACTTCATAGCATTCAGGTCGTGAACATTATATCTACATCATTCATTATTATTTTCTTTGTATGAGTAGTTTCCTATTTAAAATACAAATAAATCTATAAATAAAAATATACAAAAAGRTTATGTTTTGAAAATGTTATTATAGACTTATCTAAATAAAATTCAGAAATTCTATTTCGTCAAAATACAATCTAGAAACATTACAGATTGAATGTACGCCCATTAAAAAATAATTTWAAACGAAACAATAAAACTAACATTCATCAACCAATTTGAAATAGTTTGAAAACGTATTTATGTATTATCTCAACAGTTTACAATATCAGATCAGATGATGTAGAAAAATTGCTATAAAATCATATACAAACATTAATCTAAAGGGTGAGTCATCGGATTTTACCGACCTATTATGCAGCATGAGTTATTGATGTTCTTTCAACAAAAACTGTATAAATTATAATAGAAAAGATTGTTCATTTTAGATTCTAAGAGGAGTGAGAAGCTATTGGTTTTACAATATAATGCAGCTTCATATTAAGATAGTTTAAAATATTCTTGTTACTAGTATTATTAATGGAAATATTAAAAATAGAGAAATTAATGAAAACTTTTTTCATACAATATTTAATTTAGATTTCATAGTACTTTTGTTCAAMACTTTTTTATAATTAACTATTTGTCTATTTATACATGATATTATAATATAAGHGTTGTCAAAAATGTATAATTAATAAATAATTGTAGAAAATTCTTATTGTTCTTAATTAAATTATAACTTAAAGTAAATACAAGTTGAAAAAAAACGATCAGTGTATTATTTCAATACCAACTGTTAGTATACCTAATAATCGTTACATCATCTAGACCATTTAGTGGCTAAATGTACGATAAAATAATATTGTAACTTTACAAAACATATAACTTCGTAGATAGGGTTCTCAAATTCATAACCATTTTTATGAATCTAGAGTGATGCTCTAAAAATATATATATATACCATATTATAGTTCATAATATTATAAAAAATAAATGGTATACAAATAAAGTATTACATCTGTTA